CAACTCAACCTAATTTATGCTCAAACATCATCATCTAGAGTCATATTATCCATGAAATAAGGAGGAAATGAAGATATCTTACCATGGATGTTCCTGGAATTAACTTAAGAGTGCTTTCAAGCTCCAATGCAAGCCAACTACTTCTCCTAGCTCTTGGATGCCCAAAAAATTGCCACCTTCAAAGGAGGATTTCTCTCCTCACAATGGTTTTCTAAGGGATTTTGATGGTGAGATATGATCACAAGGTCACCACCAACATTTTTCATGACAAAGTTTGTTGATTTGGTGACTAGAGAAGAAGTTGCAAATCCAAGCTTCTCTCAAATGGCTTCTCGGTTTCTAAGGGAAGGAGAACAAAGAAGAAGCAGAAAAATTAAGCCTAAGTGTGTTTCACACTCTTCATGAAGTTGGACTTTTAGTCAACCTTTCGAAAAATATCTAATTTGCCATATTACACATATAGCCCTCTTGATAAAACCTTAACAACTTAAGGCTTAACATTTTTCACATGATTCAAACATTCAACAATGTGTTTTAATAATGTTACACCGCATTATTTTCAAGTTCTGGACAACTTTTTCATAATTGCATTTTTGCCTTAAAACTTGCACTATTTGCACTTTTGCCCAAAAGTGACTTTTTATTTAAAATTAGACATTTCATCTAATTATCTCACATTTATCATGATTAAATCTTTAATCATTTCACAAATCCATAATTCATAGATTAAGGTAATTATAAACTTGAAATCTTTTGCAAGATGAAATTTGATTATATGCTTGTGAAGTTCCTATTCCCATGAAGCAAAGCTACAGGTTTGGTATTAAGTATGAAAACTTTGATGCATCATTTGTCAAGTCCATGAAAACATTGGCGTCAATTCGGCTTGTTGACCTTAGCCTAGAAAAAAGCCAATAATTTTTAATTAAGTGTTTGGAACATAAATCATACATAAGTAAGATTCTAATTGAATGTGTGGTAGTGTAAGGATTATGTTCTATCACATGTAGAAATACATAAATAACTTATTTCTTTTGTTATGTGTTCCGGCAATTACCTTAGTCCTTAGTACTAGACCTTGGCCCAGAGCAGGTTCTCACAATGATCCCTTTTGGGCTTGGCTTTAACCCGTGTATCCGAACTCTCTCAAGAAGATAGAAAAAGAATGATAAACCTATGGTTTACCATGTCTTAGGGCTAATTTATACATTAAATACATAGTAAATTGCATGGAAATTAGGGTTCTATATTGAAAAAGCTTGAAGAATGGATTTGGAGCTAACATTTTGTAATCTTGCTTATTTTGAAGGTAATTTGACTGTAAAGAAAGCTCGAATAAAGTAAGGAACTTGGAAGAAAAAGTTGGAGATCAAAAAAAGTCAAATTGAAGCAAGTTGTAAGTAATTCAAGTGCCAGAGAAGCTCGCTCAAGCGCTATACAGTGTTCTCAATCGCGTTATGGCAGCAAATAAGGACAAATCCACTCGAGGAGAGTGCTCAAGAACTCTACACCGCGCTCAAGTGCACTAAGATGAGTAAAATTCCTGTCGATGAGCACGTTCAAGCGCTCTCTCCAGAGCGCTCCAACACGTTAAGAAGCCTGTTGTGACATTGAAATAATTGTTTGCAAAAGAAGCCTGTTGGTCTTGTTCTTATTTGAAACTTGACATCACATGACTTGGTTATTGTAAGTGTCTTGACTATTGGTCATGTTCATTGAAACTAGACAATGATTATTCTCTTACAAATAAACTTAAGTTAATGTCTTTTTACAAATCAAATTATTTAGGCATTGTTCATAATTTATGAAACTAGCTTGATGCTTATGAACATAATATTATGATGCTTTATGATATGTTCTTCTTTGCTTGATGATATGATGCTAAGTTCTTTTAGTAGAACTAGACATTTTTGATAGATTATTCAACTGATTGAATTCATGATAATATGAAATTCATATTTGATATTCTACAAGGGATGACAGAGATGGAGAGAGCTTAATGAGTGGGATCCTGACCAAGATGACCTGCTTGAAGAATGAATATATCATTTAGAGTGTGTGGGGACTTGATAGTTCACCTGCTATTGCCCATTTTGATGGAGTCCATTTATTTGAGATTATTTGAGACTTATATTTTACTATCATTATTTTATGAACATTGTTAATTCTGAACTGATTTTGAGACTTATTTTAGATGTTGGGATTTCGATGAGTTTAGGTTGAATCTAAAACTATAAATATTTATTTTGGTTTGTTGGTCTTAGAACAAATTCATGATAATGATGGTTTATTTATTTAGATTGCAAATGACGATTGAATTTATTATTTTACCATTAAAACCCTTTGATTGATCCGAGTTAATTGTCTTGGACTAGATGTGAATTATTCATATTTGTTTGAACATTACATTGATCACTCTATTGGATTGCGTTGTATGATGAACATAGGAGGAGATTGTTTGATATATTAATAATATAATGGAAAAAACTACTCTTATACTACATGTTATAACTTTCTCTCCTAGACACCATTTGATAACTGTGTCACCTTTTTCTTTTCTTTTCTTTTTATTTTTTCAGATGGTGGAGCCCACATATTTATCTCTATGACATGAGATAACTTATCTCCTTTAACATGAGATTAATAAAACCCTAATATAATCCAATAGGATGTTCACATACAATCTCAATCAATAAGTGAAAGTATGGTTATTTGGGTCCTTATAGGCTGGAGCCCAATAGCTTACACTATCTCTAGGGTTTCCTAAGCTGTAGGCAATACTGTTGAGCATTCCAAACTTAATATTTATTGGTGTAATACTTCAAGCACCTCAAACTCCTTCTCTCTCAAACTCATTACCTCCAACATAAAATTGGTCAGAAGAAAGAATGTCCCACCTCTATCCTCATTGAACGGGGTTTAACTAAGAGTGAACTGTTTAAACTTGTTAGTTGAATCAATCATGTGATAAAACAATTCATTTGTAACAATTACAAAATGTATTAAACAGAGTACTCTGACCGTAAATTTAATTAATAATTATGAGAGACTATATCATAACCTCCTTAAGTGTTTAGTTTATAATTTGACTGGACCGTCTTGTGCAGCATCTCCATTTCCTAGGCATGAAATGGTTTTGGTTTCCCTGTACAAAAAAAAGGGCTCAATTTGATTAGAATGATTCCCTTAGATTTAGTTCTTCAGTTTGAACAGAAGTTTTATAGCCAGGAATGGTCGGTACTTAATGCTATAGAAACAGTAATAAGCACTCTTTCTAAAAAAGACATAATATTTAATGTTCGTTAACTTACATTGAAATCTCGTAAACTTATTGTCTTAATAGCTACTTGCTATCTCCCAAAAAAAAAAAAAATAGTTACTTGCTATTTCAACGATAAAATTATTTCACTTTAACATATGTACCCGGTATGCAAGAAATTTTATACGTGCAATTAATATTTCTCTATTTAAAATCTCTACTATATCCATCATTCAAAATAAATTTTTTTAAAAAAAAAGAAAAGAAAATGTTAGTATAGACCTGAACAATTTTAAAAAAATAAAATAAAATACTACTATTTAAATTGCATTGAAAATAGATAAGTAAAGACAATACTCATTTAGAATTAATGAATTACACTTGAATTTTAAAAGGAAGATTTTAATTTAAGTTTTCTGCTTTCCTTAGGTACTAACTAAGGTTTGAGCTCTCGAAATTAAAATACAAAGGACATAGAACCACTAGGATTAACCTAGTGGTGAGGGGTGTGTAGTGTTCAATTATCATTGGAATCCCAAAAAAAATACAAATGACACATGGCTAATGAGTAGTCTAATTTCTTTGGATAAGAAAATATTAACAAGATACTGTATAAATTTATAGACAAATCTAATACTACGAATTTGATTATAAATTATTATAGCACTATTTAAAAAGGTAGGATATTCTTATTATCTATTTTTTCTACTACCACTCTACTACCATTTTGATCACCATTGGATTCAAAAGTTATTTTTTTTTCTCTCTCTTCATTCAACTTTTCCTTTAATCAAATGGTGATTAGAGTGGTAGTAGAAAAAATAGGTAGTTAGAATATCCTAGCTCTTAAAAAAGTTGACCCACAAAAGGAAAACAAAAAAATAAAGTTAGGAAAGTCAGTGGTACTTTCGTCTTTTTAAAAATTTTAATTCTATTTTATTTGGTCAATCAGCAGTGTCATTCAGTGAAATAGCAAACTAGGTAATTTCGTCCGAGACCTTGAATTTTTAAAAAAATAAATAAATAAATCCAACCTGAACGAGTCAACCACCTGGCGTTGACACAAATTTCAATTTTTGAAGTTGACTATGAACTTAATTATGATCAAAGCTTAGTCACAATTAAAATTCCTTATCCCTTAATAAAATTGTATTCGGTGAAAATTGAATCAAGATTCTTTCTTCACTCTACTCAGCTTGTGTCTCCAACTAAGCTACACTCAGTTATCCCTTATTGCCAATTGAGCATATGAGATGAGAGTATGTGTTTGATTCTCTCTAGTATTATCTTTGAAAATAGTTTAAAGCATTAATCTTACACCCGCTTCGAACAGAATTGTCTCCCATAAAAAATACATATGGTTTATCCAAAACAAAACAAAAAACTATGATATATGCAACGGCGGAACCACATTGTGTGTGGGAGGAAGGGTCTGAGGGCAGCTTATTTTTGAAAATTAATCACATTTTTAAATTGATTAAATAATCATTGCTAACTTTTACGGATAAAATTTAGTGTTAAACTCCATTTAAATTTTTGTTGGACTTAGCTAAATAAATAAGCTGGCTCCGCGGCTGCATATATGTGTACGTGTGGCATTAAGTCAAAGGGTGGCATAGATAATACATATGTAACGATCAAGGACCCCAAATGTCCTATTAGTAATTTTGTTAAAATCATGGGTGTAGCTACTTTCTGTTATTTTTCTTATGATGTTATTTTGCTTTTCTGTAACAACATATTGGGTCGAATATGAATATATGATACTGAAAGACATACTGAAGATTTACCAAAATTCGATTCTCTCTTCTCCAATTCTCTCTCCTTCCCAATTCTCTCAAACACTTGGGTGATCCGTTACAAGATAAAAATGGACGATAACATTCATATACGCTTAGTCCTTACAACCATAGCCACCATGTTTTTCTTCATCTTAACCAATTTGCCACAGTCCCAATCCCAAGGAGGAGAAAACAAATACACAAATTGTAGCAAGCCATACAACTGTGGAAATGTGTCCAACATCTTCTACCCTTTCTGGGGACACCACAGACCCCAATATTGTGGCGGTGGCGACCAATTAGATTTCAAACTTCAGTGTCAGAATGATCATACCATCATTCTAAACGGCTTACAAAATTTCCAAGTTTTGCATATCGACACAACAGCTTACACCGTTAGAATGAAACAAACGGTCGATGATGTTTGTTCTCCGACATTTAACGACATTTACTTGGACCTGGACGCAACCGTCTTCACGTATCCAGCAACTGTGTACAACATCACCATTTTCTACAACTGTCCCTCTTCGGTTTTCACTCATGAAAACAACTTCACGTGTGGAAATGAGAATGGTACCTATCATGTGGGTGAGAAAGATGACGTGTTGAAAGAACATCCAGAGTTTCAGAATTGCACGCGACATATCCAAGTGCCGATTCAGGTTCCTCTGAATCTTGATGGCGATAGATTTGATGCTCTGGAAGGTGCTTTGGATGGTGGGTTTGAGGTGAACTATACTAAAGCACACGCTCAAGAATGCATACGATGTTTGGATAGTGAAGGAGCTTGTGGAGTTAATTTAACTTCTCATCGATTTACCTGTTATTGCCAAGATGGATCCGATGCTATTCATTGCTATGGTCGAGGTTCTAATAGTATGTCTTCTTTACCCCTCTTGTTCTTAATTACTTTATCTACCATTTTTCTCATATATTAGATTTAGATTATGGGAAGAAGGTGTGTCATTTTAAATCACACACCTTATATCCTTTCACTCTCATAAAAATGTGAGATTCATATTTTTTTAAAAAAAATTCATTCATTTTCTCTATCATAATTTATCTTTTTCTCTCACTTAAAATAACACAATTTTATGTCTTTTAAAATGATACATATTTTTTTCTTAGATTATACAATACAATTTTGCTAGAATATTTTGAAAATATTATTTGATGTTACCAAATACCAATCCTTTTTTCTCTTACTACTACTGTTTCAGGTACTCGGTGGAACTTGACATGGAAATTACTTATAGGTAATAAATCTAATTTCTTATTATATTTTTTACCTTCACTGTTTCTTGTAATATTTATGAGAAATCTATAATCAATCTAAACTAAAAGAAGAATAATTATCTTTCATTAGATGGGACTACGGTTGGTAAAACAAGTCAACCCGACCCAACCCGCATGTAACTCGAAAAAAATGAGCCGGGTTAGAATTGGCTCGAAAAAAAGAGAGTCAGAAAACCCAACTCGACCCGAGTCAGGTTAGGGTTGGCTCGTGGGTTGGCTTGAAAAAATAGCTCGCGAGTTAGCTCGAAAATTGCTCGCGGGTTGGCTCATTTTCAGTCTATTTAAATGAACCTGTAGTATTAATGGACCAGCTATATGGCTTCTATCAACTTAAACAAAGGGTTACAAAATGAGAAATAAAAGCAAAATATTTTAGTTGCGAATTTTCTTCACAACAAATTTACACCAACATCATGAAACAATCAGAACCACTTGCTACCAAGTGGGTAATATATTTGAACCAAACAGAGTCAGCACAGCCTAATAATAAAAAAATGGCAAGGATGTGAGTAGATTAGGGACTTAGGATTAAAGAAGGAAGAAAGACGACGATAGCATGTGTGGGTTTTGTCCATTTTTATATATTATATTTTGTATTTTTTTATAATAAAAAAAAACTCAACCCGTGAGCTAGCCCATTTAACCCGCGAATTGGCTCGTTTTTTCCCTAGCTGGCTCGGGTCGGGTTGGCTCGAGTTGGCAGCTCATTTTTGCCAACCCAACCCGACTCATTTTTTACGCGGGTTGGCTCTTTTTTGCCAAATTTAGATGGGACACGCAAACATATTTTTTATTTGGTTAATAAATGTTAGGAAATAGAATCTCATCGAATAGAACTATAACAATAGATAAAGGAAATTAAGAGCGATAAATTGAACACACATATTTAACGTGGAAAAACCCTCAAACAAATTAAGGTGAAAAATCACGGACTAAAAAAAAATTACTATGGAAAATCCCAAAATTACAACCTCCCTTTTTTTTGGTATTACTTACAACCTCCTTTTAATTGCAAGGAGAGAATAATTTTACCTCTCTCGAGAACACTTCACAAAAAATCACTCAAAAAATAAATATAAAACAAGAGAATTTTGATGTGTCTCAAAAGGTTGGAGGGGCCTTTAGTTAGATCTCCCTCACCCCCTTCTTTCCTAACCTTACACCGGTGTGGGACTTGAGCTTCAACAATCTCCATACAAATTTTTTTATCTTGCTATCTTTATGTTGTCTACGTCTCTGCCAAGCCAAATGAAGATCTAAACCATATGAACTTATCAGTGTTGATTGACTTTGTCAGCACATCTGCTATATTCTCCTTTATGTGAATCTTTTGCAAATTCATGCTTCTATCTTCTACCACTTCATGAACAAAATGATATTGAATTCCTATGTGTTTCAATTTGAAATGAAAGACTGGATTACTTGTAATGTGCAAGGGACTCTGACTATCACAATACAAAAGAATATTTTCCTGTTTGTGACTGTGCTCTTCCATGAACCTCTTTATCCAGATTGCTTCTTTACAAGCTTGTGTCTTTGCCATATACTTAGCCTCTATCATAGAAAGTGCCACGACTGACTGTAATTTTGATACGCAACTCATAACTCCTTTTGTAATTGTAAACACATAGCATGTGGTAGATTTTCTTTTCTCCATATCACCAGCAAAATCAAAATCAACATATACTCTGACAATATATTAAGATCCTCCATAACCTAGAGCAAAGATACCTTTGATATATCTCAGGATCTTCTTAACAGCAATCCAATGCTCCTGACAAAGAACACTTACTTTGTTCTTGAACAAAATTTCAAAAGTGTTTCTAATGGTGGTTTTAATGCTTTTTACTCATTAGGTATAACTCATATCATTCTTTCCAAAGGGACTCATGCCCATTTTAAGTCATAAAATATATCATTACTATCCATTTAATTGTGCCGGAGCATAGAATAAAAGAAGTTCATTAATAACCAACAACATTTCTTAAAATCCGAAAGTAGGTGCGAAATCTACTTCAAATGACCTGAAATTTTAATGGTCGAAAGTAGACATTTTGCACTTGAAATTGGTATAAAGTTTGTCCCATTTGGAGGTCTATATCCCCATAAACATAATTTATAAAATGACAGGCATAATTGAAGTTCAAGAAGACTTGTATATATTCCGAAAATCATATAAAATTGAAATCTTCTTCAAGTGATGTGAAATTTTAATGGTCGAAAGTAGACATCTTGATATTCAAAATGGTATAAAGTTTTATTCATTCGGTGGTTTATAGCCCTAGAAATAGAATTTATGAAATGACAAGCAGAATTGAAGTTCAAACTAGGTTTTTGTTATGCAGTATACCATTAACTTCAAAAATTGGTTCTGTTCTACCACATTACATGTTCTAAAAACATTACATTCTTCTAAAGTTTATTATAAGTCACAATCCATAACATTCATCATCATTACTCAAGAAACCTTACTTTGTTCATAGACCAAATTTCGAGAATGAGTGTAACGATAGTTTTCAATGCTTTTTCACCATTAGATACAACTCTTAAACACTTCTTCCAAAGAGATTATTGTCCATTTAAAGTCATGAGTTATCACATCACTATTCATCAAAACCTAAACTTTTTATGAATCTACAAGAAATTTCAAGGAAAGTCTAGTTATCTTACCTCAAACTCCACAAAATGATGCTAGGGTAGTTTCCAAGCTTCAAGGAATCAAGACTCCTCCCAATCACCAATCTTCAAGAATGGCGCCATACTTTGGGAAGGATTTTCTGTCAACACAAAGCTTCTCCAAGGAAAATGGTTGGTGGGTTTTGTTCCTCGTGAGATTCTAAACAATTTTGATGAAGGAACTTAAGTGTTTTGATAGCTTAATCAAAAGTGATGTTTTGGAGCTCAAACCATGGAGTTCATCGGGTGTGGATATTTCTCAACGAAGAAGGAGAAAAATTGGAAGAAATGACTTGGTTTCATAACTTTAAGTGAGTTTTGGCTTTGGTCAACTCAATTAATGGTTAAATGACTAAGTTACCCTTAATGAATAACTTTTAATTTCCTTCAATCCATGAATTAGATCATCTAATATGTATTTTAAGATTTACCAAAATGATTAGATAGTTTCTCACAACATTATTTCCAAGTTTCAGGTAATTTTTATGTAATTATATTTTTATCTCAAAACTTTCACTAATTGCACTTTTGCCTTGAAAAATGATTTTTGTCACAAAATTATATTTAATCTAATTAACTCTTTTAATTTGACTCCTTAGCTTCATGGCATAATGGGTTTGTGTGGAGTATATTACATGGAATTATTTCTAAGTCTGGGTAATTTTTACTAAATTACCATTTTGCTCCCAATGGAGACTTGTCCCTAAAATCAATATTTCTACTTAATTAACCCTCTAACTATGCATTCATTTCTAATTAATGTAATCTGATTATTTGGGTTATTATAGCAAGGTTTTTTTTCAAATAATTCTTCTATGATAGCAAAATTTTGTTTTTATTCATGTCTGTTGATTTGCATTCCTAGAATCTTGTTTACTGGTCTTAAGTCCTTTATTTCAAACTTCCTAGCCAATTATACCTTTAATTCTTGAATTAGATCTTTGTTGGGGCCTATTACCAATATATCATCAACATACAGCAGCAAGATAATGAAATCATTATTAACAAGCATCTTGAAATAAGCACAAAGGTTTGAATTCAGTCTATTGTATTTAAGGCTCAATATGAAGGAATCAAATCTCTTATAGAGATTTGTTAAATTTGAAAACTAAGTTCTCCTTATCTAGTTCTTCAAAACCTTCAGGTTGGAGCATATGTATTTCTTCTTCAAGATCTCCATGAAGAAATACAATTTTTACATCTAACTGCTTTAGATGTAAGTTAAATATTGTACATATAGCCATGACTACACGAATCGTAGCCAGACGAACCAGAAGTGAAAATATTTCGTAAAGTCAATATATTCTTTTTGAGAATAACCTTTCACCACCAATCGTGCACGATATCACTCCCTAGATCATCACAATTTCGTTTGATCTTGTAAATCCATTTGTTACCAATGGGCTTTCTTGCATAAGTTCCCAAGCCTTGTTCTTATTAAGAGCCTATATTTCTTCCTGCATTGTTGCCATCCATAGTGCATACGAGCTAGCTGTTGCATCTCTAAATATTGATTATTCTCCATATTTTGTTAAAATACAATATGCAACATTGCCCTCCAAAACATAGTCAGACTGCCAAGTTGGTTCTTTCTTCTCACGAGGTGACCGTTGAACTTTTGTAGTTTCAAACTCAATTGGTTCTTACTCCTTGTGTTCTGATGTTATTTCTAAAGAATCTTATTGTCCAGATTCGTTTTCCAATTGAATCGTCAAAGTTTCTGAATTATTAGCTAAAGTGCTACTTACATCTTTCTCTTGTAGCTTGTCTCCTACAAATAGTACATCGCTGCTGATAACGGCAATACCGGAAATAAGATCCCATAGTCGATACCACTTGCCTCCATCAATATACCCTAAGAGTCTTCACTTCCTGGATTTTGGATCCAGCTTTTGACTTCTTGGGTGTTGTACATTACGAACACGTGACTCCCAAATGTGTGTACATGTGAATAAACAAATGGCTTACCAATCCACATCTTCATCTGTGTCTTCATATCAATCGTAGTTGTTGGTGAATGATTAAGCTTCAGCCCAAAATGACTTTGCCATACTTGTTGTCTTCAACATAGCTCCAGTTATTTTCAGTACAGTTTTATTCATCTGCTTTGCCACTCCATTCTGTTGTGAAGTGTATGCCACCGTGAATTGTCTTTTGATATATTCATGATTACAAAAGACATTAAATTCATCACTTGTATATTCTCCACCATTGTCTGTCCTAAGGCACTTGATCTTCTTCTCTATCTCCAATTCTATCTGTGCTTTGAATGTATTCAAGACTGAAAACAAGTTTGCATTCATCTTGATCAAATACACCCAACATCTCCTGGAATAATCATTAATGAAGGATACAAAGTACTTCGCTCCTCTTAAGGACATAATCGGTGCTTGCCATACATCAGAGTGAATCAATTCTAGAATATTTTTAATTCTAGAATTCGAAGCAATGAACTTCAATCTATGTTGCTTACTTGTAACACAATGCTCACAAAAAGGTAAGGTTTTCTTTGTGAGACTAACGAATAGTTTTCGTTCAACCAGAATCTTCAACCCTTGTTCTGATATGTGACCCAATTTGTGATGCCACGTCTTTGTTATATCTTACACAGAACTGGTTGATTCAACAGATGCTTCTACCTCTAGATGCGTCTCTCATATAAGCCTATACAAGTTTGCTGCAGTTTTTTTAGCCTTCATAACTACAAGTGAACCCTTATCAATCTTCATCATCTCATTTTCATTACGGGTGTTGCAGTCATTTTCATCAAATTGCCCTAAAGACAATAGATTTTTCTTCAAGCCCTTCACATGTCACACATTTTGGATTGAGTGAATCATTCCATCATACATCTTCGTCTTGATAGTACCAATCCTAGCAATCTCCAAAGGCATGATCATTTCCTATATACACAGACCCTCTAGAAATAAGTTTGTAAGTACAAAACCAATTTCTACGAGAAGTAATGTGCCATGTTACTCTTGAATCCATTATCAATGCATCAGTGAGATCTAATCTATCCGTAGATATGGTTGTTACTTCACTATATAAAACATTTGAGTTAACAACACATTATTGGGAAATTGATGATTCAGAGGTCTTGTTTCAACCCTTCTTGAATCGACACTCATTTTTAAAGTGTCCCTTCATGTCATAATTGTAGCACTTGACATGCTTCTTACTCCTAAACTTTGACCTTCTTTGTTTGTGACTCCCACTGGAACCATGTTACACTGATCGTCCTCTTGTCATCGACGAGACCTTCGCTTGATGCAAATTTTCGAACCTGTCTTCTTTGTTTATCTGTCGGCTTTCCTTTTCAAGAACAACAATAACAATATCGTCGAACACCAAAGATTTTGTTTGTTACTGATGATGAGTTGGTCATATGAATCTAGAAGACTCTGGAATAGAATCTCAGCATGTTCCTTTGGCTCAATATTACGTCCCAATGTTGAAAGTTGAGAACATAGAGAGGTTAAAGTATTGATGTGCTATATTGCTAATCTAGATTTATACACTCGAAGTGTGTAAAGCTTCCTCTTCAAAAATATTTTGTTGTGAAGTAACTTGGATGCATACAGTTTTGTGAGATGATCTCATGTCTCCTTCGCTGTTTTCTTTTTCTCTATCCTTGATAATATGTCATCTGAAAAGGATTGGAGCAGATCAGAGATGGCCAATTCATCAATTATTTTCAACAATAACTTTGTCCCATTAAATTTGCTGATATCCATCTTTGTTTCCAGGGTTCTATCACGAACTGCTTTAGCTACAAAATAGCTCCAACTGCTTTGTTTGGGTCTTGGGCTCCTTAAACCAGTATTTGTACAGTGCACCAGGAAAGTTTCCAGGAAGACTGGAGGGGTCACTAATTCTCCCACTTAAAATCCAAATCTCCTTAATTAGACCATTTATAGTCTTTGTGACAAAGCTTTCCTAGATATGCACTTAATCACCCGAAATATCTCTTCTAAAAATTCTCCGATTGTGAACAGTAACTGTATACAACAGTAGTCCATGTATAATACCTACAACACGTCATTGTAAATTAATACAGAGATCCACCCAACAGCTCCCTAAGGACAATCCGTTTTTGATGTGACCGATCAGCCTAAGTTTTAGTCACATAACATAGTTTAGAAAACCTAAACTTACCTCTGATACCACTGTCAGGAAATAAAATTCCATCGGATAGAACTATAACAATAAATAAAGGAAATTGAAAGCAATAAATGGAACACATATTTAAAGTGGAAAAACCTCAAACAAATAAAAGGAAAAAACCATGGGCGTGAGTAGCAAAAACTTTACTATAGGAAACCCCAAAATTACAACCTTCCTTTAATTACAAGGAGAGAACAATTTTACCTCGCTCTTGAATTAAGAGAGCACCTCACAAAAAATCACTCAATTAAGAAAATAAATAGAAAAGAAGGGGATTTTGGTGTGTCTTAAAAGGGTGGAGGGGGGCTTTATTTATAGTCCCCCACCCCTTCTTTTCTAACCTCCCATCAATGAGGGACTTGAGCTTCAAAAGTAAAGCCTTAATTTTTTTTGTACCTTTGACGACACTTTGCAGACTTCAATTGAAAATAATTTTGAAATATGAATATCAAGTAATCTGAAATAAAAGCATACCCTTCAACATTCTCAACATAGAATAGAGAGCGCGAACCACAAGCATATGGATAAAATGACAGAGAATTGTTCCATCTTAACAAGTGGTTTTGAGTTTCAAATCTTGGTGTACAAGTGTGTTAAAACTTGATAAGGAGAACTTTGTCAAGTAGAATTCCAATTTTAAACTTTAGTAGTTTTATTTTAACTATTTTCTATATTCACTTCAACTTTTCCAAATGTTGTACATAAGCATAGGGGGGAGGCTATGACTAGTTTCAGTCACTAAGAGTCTCTTTAGCATGTCTTATTTTTAATTTATCTTCTCCTTAAAAGCAAAAGTTTAACTAAATATAACTTTATAAAAGTTCTTATTATAAAAAGAGATTTTTTTTATAATAAAATACTAAAACTAAAAGCTAAAAATTCCTTGGAAGAGCTTTTTTTTTAAGATGTGTGCTAACTTTTTGGAGTCCTCATTTTTATTTTACAGTTTTTCTCTTATTCTAAACTTGTATTTATAAATTTTATCCTTTACGCTAATTATTTACTCTAATGACAAATCATGTCATCTCGTTCTTTTAAAACCCTAAAAATAGGCTTATATAATTACGAAAAAAAATCAAAAAAACTTTTATGCTCTTTTTTTTTTTAATTTTAATTTAAAAATAACTTTTAACTTAAAAAAAAAGGTGCCAAACAAGTTCTAAATGGTCAGACATGATAACTTCTATGGGAAATATCCTAGAACTACTACTCTTAATTATTTAGGTTTTGTTTCTCCTTCACATATTAATTTACGAAAATAAAACTATATCAAATGTTTCTTAACCACTAATTCATTGACTCTGTCTGCCAACAGGTATTATTGGTGGAGTGATAACAGTATTGTTGATATGTATCGCTACTTTTTGTTTTAGATGCAAGTCCTCATCTTGGCATGGAAAATTTTGGTTGACCACAAAAGGTAACAAAGATATTGAAGCATTCTTAAAAAATCATGGAGCCTTAACTCTAAAAAGATACAAATTCTCAGATGTCAAGAAAATGACCAACTCCTTCAAAAATAAACTCGGGCAAGGTGGTTTTGGTGCTGTATACAAAGGACAACTATTTAATGGTTGCCCTGTGGCCGTAAAGATATTGAGGTCATCGAAAGGAAACAATGAAGACTTCATCAACGAGGTTGCCAGTATCAGTAGCACTTCTCATGTCAATGTTGTCACCCTTCTTGGATTTTGTTTTGAAGGCCGCAAGAAAGCTCTCATCTATGAATTTATGTCCAATGGTTCCCTTGAAAAGTTTATTTACAGAAATGGACATGAAGCCGTTGCTTCTTTGAACTGGGAGGATTTGTATCAAATTGCCATGGGGATTGCTCGAGGGCTGGAGTACTTGCATAGGGGATGCAATACTAGAATTTTGCATTTTGACATAAAACCACATAATATCCTTTTGGATGAGAATTTCTGCCCCAAGATATCAGATTTTGGGCTAGCAAAGCTCTGTCCTAGGAAAGAGAGCATGATTTCAATGTCAGATGCTAGAGGGACAATTGGGTATGTAGCTCCAGAAATGTGGAATAGACATTTTGGAGGAGTATCTCATAAGTCAGATGTTTATAGCTACGGAATGATGCTGCTAGAAATGGTGGGAGGGAGAAGGAACGTTAATGCTGACGCCAGTCATACTAGTGAGTTATACTTCCCACATTGGGTATACAACAGGCTTAAGCAAGGCACGGATTTGAGACCATATGAGGTGATTAAAACAGAAGAAAATGAGATAGCAAAAAGATTGACCATAGTGGGTTTGTGGTGCACTCAAACGTTTCCAAATGATAGACCTACAATTAGTAGAGTGATAGATATGTTGGAAGGCAGCATGAATTCCCTGGAAATTCCACCAAAACCTTTTCTTTCTTCTCCTACTAGATCAGTATCTGAATCCTCCACTTTTTGAAATATCATTGCATTTTGGGTAAATAGTTTAAATTATACTGTAAAACGGATCATTCAACATACTTGTTTTGTAGTTTTCAATCATCCTGAAAAGCAAGCGTATCTTATATGTGTGTTAAACTGTTAATATATTGAATGCTAATGCCAAAGCAGTGGATGGAGTAAACTCTATGTTATGACTCAAATGAAGGAAGGTTCAGGGTTGATTGATAGGATTTACAGTGAGAATTATATCCCTATATATTGACGGTCTCCCTGTTCTTCCTGAACTACTTCCCTTTCCCCACCTGTTCATGAGTTCATTTCTTTCATAGTGGATTGACTCTTATTTGTCTTATTCCATCTATCAATTCAATAAACTTCAATCAATAGCTTTTTCCAGTTTGGATTTTCTAATCATTGTGACTGAGAACTGAGTTTCTGCATTGATTCCTAGAAATCTGATTGCCATTCTTTGTTATCATTACACTCTGATTGTTGTCGTATGAAGTAATAATTTTTTGAAAATTCTTTCTTTCTTTTTTTATGTGGAAGTTCATGATCATGTGGTTGCAATATTCTTGAAAATACATTTTTTTTTCACTGATGCCTAGAAGCATAGCACCAGATAATATAGACTCGGCAGTGTCTATAACACAACGAAGAAACTGCTTGAAAATTTCACTTCGGTTTCACATGCAAAATCCTTGTATGTTCGTTAGAAACTTTTCCACACTCTCTTGCATAAGTGCTGCATTATCGACGAAACTAATCTCTGATTATTCCAAAAGGCATAGTTGATTGACGGAAAAGTAAAACTAAAACAGGACACAATTATCACCGCGTAATTTATGTTAACTCTGACTTAGATTTTTAAATGGAAGTGTGAATTATTTTCTAGTCAAAATCAGACAATTATTACTAGGAGAAAATGAATATTGAATCTTACGAGAATAATTTGATTTGATTTCATTTGATTTAGCAATCAAATTTTATATTTCGAACTTATAGACAATAGCACTGATTCGATTTCATTTTTTTGTTGTATACTTTTACGCTCATTTGACAAAATTACGATATTTAAAAGATTGTAATCCATGCAATTTTACAAATCAAATTGATTTCTATTTTTTCAAACACAAGATTTGATTATCAAATTAAATGCATCTATATTGATTCCAAACACAATCTTTAGAACTTTTACTGCTGAATTAAAGTGGAAAAAGATCCCTACCAAAAAAAATAAATGGAAAAAGATATGGTGACCGAAATGTGAAGTGCAAACTCCATAGTCACGAGAAGTCAATCCTAGAAATAAGTGGGAAATCTTGCCTGTGATGCCCTTTCACCTTTTTGCCAAAGTTTATTCAAATTCCCAAATCTTCAATTGGTATTATATCTAATCTTACTAAGATTTATCTTCAACTTGTTACACAAGCAATATGAAGCTTTCTCTCTGCCTTCCTACTACAAATTACAGTGTTTTTAGGTTGTTTGTAACTCATACTAAGTAGTTAGAATGGTAGGAAATAAGAGGGAAAATTCATAATATACAAAGTATTAAGAAAGAAAATGCATGCTTTGATGATATGATTTAATTATTGGTCTATATTGGAGATAATTATTTTGTGTAATTGATTCACTTATCATATAAAATTATTGAGAATTCATTTGAGTAAAGAAATCTCATATTATATAGAAATGTACAAAGTAAGAAACAAACAAAGTGGAAGGACCTAATCTCAATGGCTTAAGATTTATAAGAAGGGAAGAGGAATTGAGAAAAAGAAAAAAGAATTTGTAAGATTTGGAAAGACCAATTGTCCAATATTTTGGTCAAATTGTCCAAGCCCAAATCATGCAAGTCCGAATGTTATACTCCATCCTCAAATCTTCAATTTCAATAACAACATATGCCAACAAGTGGGCCTAAATTAACAAGCCCAAGGAAATTGCATTTTTTAAACTTTATTGCACTTTGTATTTTAATTTTGTTAAATTACTCGTTTATTAAACCTTTTACATCCTAATATTTTATTTTCAACATTTACATTTTATTTATCAAATTTACATATATGATTGTCTAATCTGATACTTGAAGCTTGAAAATCACAAAACAATATTCTCCTCTTAAGTTGACAACTAGAGTTCAAAAAAAAAAATTTAAGCATAAACAAATTTTCACACAAACAAATTAACACACCTTCAACATATTGTTTTAAGAGGATGGTTATAGTTACAACCAAAATGTTTTACAACTTTTTTAACAACTTTTTTTTCTCACCGTTAGATTAGCTCTTGATCGACGGTTTACAATTTTTCCTTCTCTCTCCTCAGTTTGTCCATCTCCTGCCATCGTTCTTCCTTGGGTCTCACCAGAAGAAGAAAAACCACCGACTGGAAGAGGAAGACACTCCATTAATCATCCAATCAAACCTAACAGAGGAAGAGATATCAGCTTCTCACATTTTATTTCGTTTTCAAAAACCCTAATCAATCCTTGTTCTTGTTCTCAGGTGATTCTCTTATTCGATGACTTCATGATCCATTCTCATTTCTTTTTTCTTTTTCTTTTTTCTTTTGTATTTTATTTTTTAAATCTCCAAAATTAAAGATAATTTAGATGTTTTCCCCTTGTTTTCGTTGGTCGCTCCATATATTGCTGTGATTGTGTTGGGTTGGGTGACCAATGAACAGAGGGCAAAAAGCAAAAGAGAGCATGGAGGTGAGTCAGATGTAGAGACAGTGCTTGGATTACATCAAATCCTTATTCATGGAGGTAAAAGCGTAAAAGCAAACAAACATTATTTGCAAATCCAACCATTCTCTTGTTTTAAAGGAAAAAGTATTTTTCGTAGAAGCTAAAATTATCTTAAAACTATGGGAAATTAATATATTTTAGGAATTTTATTTGTTTCTTTATTATATGCAGTGTAATTAAACCCGGATTGGACCGGCCGGTTAGAGATAGCCGATCCGAGTAAGCTATTAGATCGGATATGTATTAAAACCAGTGTGAACCGTTCGACTCTGTCGATTTTATTAAAACCCAGCAACTCGGATCGGTTCAAAATAAAAATCGGTAAACATCCAACTCATTAGGTAAGTCACGTGCAGTCCACGTTGCACGATGTTTACACTAGATGGTACTGAAAGTGGTTATAAAGAATGAATTAATTTCTGTGTGGGTCGATGTGGACACTAAGCTCTGTGAATAATCAATTGAGCTTTATTATCGCTGCTGTCATTGCTGGGAGCTGCGACCGGTAGCTGTTCTTGGTCTTGCAGGGGACGGTGGCATTCGACCTTTGTGTTCAACTTTTTGTACACACTACTCAGCCTCTTACTCAATGTGTTAGTGGCTCAAGGCTTAGGCCTTGCCATTGGTGCTGTTGCACTGGACCAAAAATCTGCAACCACACTTGCCTCAGTAATCATGCTATGTTTCTTGTTGGCTGGTGGGTTTTATGTTCAACATGTTCCAAAATTTATAGCATGGGTGAAGTACATCTCCATTAGCTACTATACATACCAGCTCTTTATTGGGTCTCAATATCACACTGGTGAAACATACCCTTGTTCAAATAATGGCCAGTGTCCAATTGTTGAATTTCCATGCTTGTATTTGAATATATTATTAATTTTTATAAATAAAATATAAATTTTTATGCAACCTATATAAAGGACTCAAAAATCTAAAATGAAGTAATCCTGTGATTGACTTTGTTATAAATTGGGTTGCGATTTATTTTGGTTGCACACTTCATTTATTTCTAATGTTGTGGTTTTTTTTACTTGTTTATTTCTTTCATATTTGACGTTTTTCTATTCCTATAAAAATTAAATATGCTTGTATTTGAATATATTATTAATTTTTATAAATAAAATATAAATTTTTATGTACAAACTCGCATCATGCGGTTAAACCAGTGACTCACTGATTGAACCAGTGACCTAGTACCCTGACTGGTTCGATGTCCGGGTCAGTTCTGATAATATTGATTATATGAATTTTGTCAAAATACCCTTTTTAATTCCCTCAACCTTAGAAAATAACATAGATTTAAAATTACAAAGAAATAACTTTATCTCCTAAAAGGAGAATCGATAAACCCTATTTTAAAGTCTTGACAATTATTCCAGTAAACAATATAAACAGGATATTCTTTTTTTTTTCTTTTTTTTGTAGAAAGGATATTCTTCTTTAATACTTGCATTGCGGTGTTGCCAGTAACAAGTTGGCAATATAAACACGAACTTGTGCATTTGGACAAAAATGGACGCCCATGTTTCGGAACAGTGATCATTTTGTCATTGTTGCCAAAAAAAAAATATCAAATTGTCACACTAACAGTAAATTTTGTTAAAATGCCACATGGCATATTTCGTTACACTGTGTAGCAAAATATGTGTGCAAATAATTCGTTACACGGTGTAGCGAAATATGCCGCGTCAGAATGCACAGAACCAAAAATGCCACGTGTCAGACAGGGAGAATTTAGCTACATTGTGTAGCGAAATTCTCCTTGTTTGACACGTGACATATTTCGCTATACTGTGTAACAAATTATTTACACACATATTTTACTACACAGTATAACAAAATATACCACGTGATATTTTGACAAAATTTACTGTTAGCGTGACATTTTAGTATTTTTTTTCCAACGGTGGCACTTTAGCCACTGTTCCCCTATGTCCCCTTCCTTACGTCAATCGTCATTACCATATCCTCCTTTTTCTTCTTTGTTTTTTAAGGCCATAATTAATTCCAGTGACCCTGTGATTTTGACCAAAAATAAGCATTGGCCATTGAACACGGGGATTTTGCAGTGATCAGTGCGTCAAAAAGTCTTGCACCCATTTTCAATTTCTGGCGTAGTTATATGATAGGCAAGCATCTAACATAAAATAAAATAAGATTTTATAAAAGTTAAGGAATAATGATAGGCCTTAATTTTTTATTTATTTTTTTGTTTTAAAACTTATGTTAAAGGGCCAATAAAATAAAATTCCCTCTCTGTTGACAACTTTGAAACAATCATTTTTATTTTATTTTTTAAAATTTCTCCATTTCATCAATTACCCAAATTCTTCAAGTATGTGAAATGATAAGAATATCTTCAAAGGGTTCGTTTTTTCTGCAGTTATCGCAGACAAATTATCTACAGTAAATTTAACACGATGTTATTTTGGACGAAAATCATAGTGTTTTTTGTAATTTTAATTTATTTCAGGGTTATTATAGTATTTATAATTATAATTTTTTAATATTTTAATTCTAAAATAACGTCATTTTGAAAGTAAATAGATAATTTATCTGCATTAACTGCAGAAATATTTTTATCATCTTCAAAACAAGAAAATTAAACGCCAGCTAGGAGCACGTAAACATGAATAGAAATAAAGCTTTTTTTTCTTTAATTCTCATTTCCATTTTCCTTGTCCACTTTGCACGCAAACAAGAAACTCAAAGGTGCTTTCCTCTGCGTGTGGGTCCACTTTCGTTTGCACCGTTAAGAAGAGAAACTCAAAATTAAAATACATGATCATAATGTAACATTAACATCATTCTCATGCACGTAAGAAAGGAAGACCATATCCCCATGTTCCGTAAGTCCAAATTCACCATCTCTTTCATCTTCTTATTAACCACCTTGCTACAATCTCACTCGAAAGTTGAAGACACGAAATACTCAGTTTGTAGCAGGCCATACAACTGTGGAGAAGTGTCCAACATATCCTACCCTTTCTGGGGACAGAACAGACCCCATTACTGTGGCAGCACCGAGCAGTTAAAGCTAAACTGTGAGGCAAACCAAGACACTTCATTTCAATTTGACACACAAAATTTCAGAGTATTGAGGATTGACACTTTATCTAAAACCATGAGACTTGTTCGAACAGACCTTGTCTATGATGATTGTTCCTCTGACTTGACCAACACCTCGTTGAGTTCCAAAATCTTTGAATTTCCCGAAGATGTACACAACATCACCATATTCTACGGTTGTCCCACTGGGTTTTCGTTAGGTGGTAACAACTTTACGTGCAAAGATGACACAAAGTATAGGATTGCTGGCGCACAATTTGGTTTCTATGTGAAAATGACAGAGAGTCTGTTGCAGCAATATCCAGAGCTTGAGACATGCGCGACACGTATACATGTGCTGGTTTACAGGGAAATTCCTCTGGATTCTGACGGTGGTATAGATTCTCTGAGAAAAGCTGCTGCTAATGGTTTTGACGTGTTCTATAATATTGCAGATGATGGAGAATGCACAAGTTGCATGGAAAGTAAAGGAGCTTGTGGAACGAATGATACTGCTAAGGATCAATTTTCTTGTCATTGCCCTGATGGGTCTGATGCTTTGCAATGCTATGGTCACAATACTAATCCCAGCAGTATGGCCTCTTTTCTTTTCCCTCTTGCGCCTTATTGTCTTTAACTAGTTATAGTTATAATGTTGTATTTATCTCTCAGATCATGTTCCTCTGTCTGTCTTTTTGCCATGTACTAATTTAGAGATTGGTTTGATGAAATAGATTTTGATGCAACAAGGATTCAAGAACTGAAGATGAAACATCTTGCTTGATCCAAGTTATAATTAGGAAATTTATACGACTAGCTGATGGGATATTCAAGTGTGATGATTCATAATAAGTTAGATCTATATAAATGAAGGATCCACGAACTTAATATTTTAAGATTCTGGATTGAGATATGGTGGTTGGCTAGAGGTTTCATTGACACGTGAGGGAGAGATTATTATGATATTCAAATGTGATAGAATATTAACTTCAGGTTTTAGATTGAGACACAGTGTTAGACCCACTTGTTATTGGTGTAACTTGACCCATTGGTGATAATTTTCCTTGATGGGCTACTCTTGACTGAGACTATGAACCCCTTTCAGTTCAACGGAATAGAGGTATTAGCCTGTCTAAACTCAACTAATTACATGAGCAAATTACAGTTGGGAATAGCTGTAATTGGTGGAACCCGCTATTGGGTGAACTTGAAATCTTTTGCAGGATGAAATCTGATTATGTGCGCGCGATGTTCCTATTCGCATTAAGCATAGCTATGGGTTTGGTATGAATTAGGTGTGGAAACTTTAATGCATCATTTGTCAAGTCAATGAAAACATTGGCGTCAATTCGGTTTGTTGACCTCAGCTTAGAAAAAAGCCAATGACTTTTAATTAAGTGTTTGGAACATAAATCATACATAAGTAAGATTCTAATTGAATGTGTGGTAGTGGGAGGATTACGTTCCATCACATGTAGCAATACATAAATCACTTACCTCTTTTGTTATGTATTCTATATGTATAATTCTGTGTGTATATAATAAATTGTTTACGGAAGAAAATTTAGACCAGCATATTTTTGCATGGCACAATTGTGAACGAACAATTTATAACAAGATTGCAGCAACAACTGATGTGAAACTTGTGGTAATGATCCAGCATTATCACCATCACCATTGCCAACACCGGCACCGGCACTGTTACCGCCTAGTCCTTCGTCAAACTTCCCAGACCCATCTCCACATGCTACTAGTATGTATTCTTCCTTCTTCTGATTTAGATTACGTTTTTTTTATTGATGGCATTAAATTTTCTTTAAAAAGCTAGATATTTTATTAGTATGCCCTCACCTCACCCTTATTTTTATTGGTCGGAGTTCAATGGAGGGTGATTTTATTTAAACTGGTTAGTTGAACCCAACCATGTCATAAAACAATTCATTTGTAATAATACAAAATGTACTAAACAGAGTAATCAGGCTATAAATTTAATTATTAATTATGAGAGACTATACCATAACCTCCTTAAGTGTTTGGTTTATAATTAGACTGGACCGTCTAGTCCAGCATCTCCATTCCTAGACATGGTTTTGGTTTCCCCGTAAAAAAAGGGGGAATTTTTTTTTTAAAATATTACTTTTTTAATAAATAATTACGAATAAGTTGCTGTTACAAACCTATTTACGAATTTATTACACCCATTCACGTCCAAATTAGGCGTGACCATTCACGCCTAAGTTAGGCGTGACTCCCAAGGCATTCATGCCTAATTTAGGCGTGAATAGTCACATCCAATTTGGACGTGACTCATTTGGTATTGACACATGATACAAAAAGTTAATAGTTTAACCGTAAAATTTTATAAGGCCGCAACTTTTGACTCGGGTATCCAAATCAGATAATTCTTTTTTTGATTTCACATAACTTTTCGAGATCTACGCAATGACATCTCATTTGATATATTTTATCCCTCACAAACACAGTTCAAATTTGCAATAATGGTAGTATAAAGATGGTACCAAAGTAGATTAGTCCATCTAAAGTTTGGAAAAATATGTGATACAAAACAAAGGCTGAGTCTTTATGGTTGGATTCGTTGGAAGCTTATGAATGATTTTCAAAAACAAAATTTTTCTTCCTTAAAGATTTAGAATATTTATTTAATTATTTCCTTTATTAATACAGATTGTTCAAATTGGTTTTTGAGTTTAAATCACAAATCAAATCTTTATTTTGTTTTCCTTATTAATACTAATTTTTTAATTTTTTTTACTTTAAATCACAAACCAATTCTTTATTTGTTTTTTATATTAAAAATTAAAAATTTTGATTTTTTAATTTAAATCATAAATCAAATCTTTATTTTTTTTTTTAACTCGGAAGTTTATGGTTTAAACGCTCTTATAATATCATTATTGCAAATTTGAATTGTTTTTGTGATAGATAAAATATGTCAAATGAGGTGTCATTGCGCAGATCTCGAATAGTTTTGTGGAATCAAATTTTTTTTACCTGATTTGTATACCTGAGTCAAAAGTTATGGCTTTCCAAAGGCTTACGGTTCGTAAGTTGACTTTTTTGTACCACATGTCAACATCAGACGAGTCACGCCCAAATTGGGCGTGAATAGTCACGCCTAATTTAGGCGTGAATGCCTTTGGAGTCACGTCTAATTTAGGCTTGAATAGTCATGCCTAATTTGAGCGTGAATGAGTGCTATAGATCCGTAAATAGTTTCGAAGCGGCTATGTATTCGTAATTATTTATTAAAATAGTAATATTTTACTTTTCTTGCCGACAAAAAAGTGCACAATTTGATTAGAATGATCCCCTTAAATTTAGTTCTTTTGTTTGAATAGAAGTTTTATAACCAGGATTGAGCTTTTGAAGACTGCATAATAAGATGAAGTGTTCGAATTTTGAAATTCAATATACAATGTATGTCTCTAGAGTATTTGAGTTAATTGTAATAGAGAAAAAAGTGAACGCCAAAATTGAAATTTCTTTTAATTTTAAAGGAAAAACTCAAGTGTTTCCTTCCTCTGTCATAAATTTTTAAACTACACTGCTGAGATAAAGTTGAAAAAGATATGGTGACTGAGATGTAATCATGCCATATTTGTAATTCCCCTTTCAAAATTAAGTGATTGCATAGAGTAGAATGTTCTAATTCTATCTGAATAACATTCCAACAAGATTGTCACCGGACACCTATACTCTTAACATACTCTTCTTCGCTCTCACTGTTGCAGGTCATAAATGGAATAGAAAGAGGAAACTCATTATTATAGGTAATAGACCTAACTTCCTTTTATATTTCCTCTTCAACTGTTTTGTGTAATATTTATGAGAAATCTTCAATTCATCTTAGCTAAAGGAAGAATCGCATTATCCTTCAGTGGATAGGCAAGCTTCGACAATGCCTTCTGCTTTTGTTGATGAACTTGAAATGGAAACTTACATTTTTGCCCCCCTTTGAGGACACTAGTTTGGAAGTGTAACACCCCGTTCTAGAACCAATTTGTTAACATTGCATTATGATATTAAGCACAGTTACAATCACATTGGTTCAATTAGAAATTCAGATAAAATTTTCTTTTTGAACAAAGACGAATTTAAAATAACCAATTACGTGATCATAACCATATTACGTTGCGGAATAAATGAAACTAAGTTTAACATCATATTCTTATTTTATTAGACCACACGTCGTTAAACATCTTCATCCCTTTTAATATTATATGAATTCTATACTTCCTCTATAGTTCTCATCTCTTATTATATTGTATATCTCTTTGTTAGCTTCAAGGGGTTCAAACCGCGCCCAAATCGGAGCTCTGTAGCTCGAGTTATGCCAGTTTTACTAAACTATGTTTCTGCTGATTTTTCGGGTAGAGCGTTTTAGCGCCCAACTGGGCGTTAAAACACACGTAGGCAGTGAATTTTGCCTTCTATAGGTCTTTAGCGTGTTTTAGCGCCCAACTTGGGCGTTAAAACGCCCCCTTGAGTGTTTTAGCGCCCATTTGCGCGTTAAAACGCCCAAGGACAGAGACATTTCCTCCATTTCATGAACATAACGTGTTTTAGCGCCCATATCAGTGCTAAAACGCTCTCTAGCAGGGCAAAACATGCCCTCCCCTATTTTCATGTAACTTCATGAGAGATTTCCTCCCTCTTTCACCATTCTCTTAACACCTAATAGACATCATACCATCACTTCAATACATGATCCTTAATTATGTTACTACTTATTTATCAAATGGCATCCATGCCCTTCCATCATTTCTACAATAAGAACAATATTACACAATATCCAAGTGTCTTTAATACATAACCATGGGACTTAGCTACAAAACACTATGATCAACTCCTTGGCTCCCATCAACAAAAGAGACACCAAGGGAAGTGAGCATAGGCCAAGTCCACCAAAATAAAACATGATGTACACATATCAATTGGCTTTCAAATGTGAATCCTATATATAGAACTACTAAATGTCATGCATAACCAGAATAATGCAACATCTTCATATATCAATCTAGTCCAAGTATGGCCACTTGCCATCAGAGGCTCCTGCAGCATCTGTACCTGAAAGGGGGTCCCCACAACACGGGATGAGATATATGAATACATCTCAGTAAACCAGGGGTCCTTGGAGTATTTCTCCATCCCATAGTTCACTCACAGTATAATAGCAATAACTGTAAATAATCCAATAAATACATATCTATGTAGTGTGTAAAAACATATCCACGAGAAATCCCTCGAGCTCTCAAGCTGTCCTATGGATACTCAGATGCAAAATAGTCCTACTGGCCAGCTAAACTACTAAGTATGAATTACGCATCGTCATGCAACATACAAAACATAGGAAAACACCATCCTATGCCACTCCCAAAGAATACACATACGTATAACAAAGCATTAAACTACTTTATTGCATTTACATACACTATTAACAATCATTACCCATTCCGGGCTTGGTGGAACAATAAAGGGATTAACACCCAAGGCCCAAAGGCTTACCTCAATGCTCCAATTCAACCTTTGTTCACCAACAAGTTTGCAACCAATCGAACTCTGAATTCAAGCTACGATTTGTAAAATACACACCTACACCAAGGTGTCACACAATCAATCATCTAACTCACTAATTTCTCAAAATGCTAGAACATCCATAAGCCCAAGCATGAATTTTCCCATATATTGAACAATAACCAAATGACTGTCTAAACTCATTTATACCATTTATTTATCATCTACAACAACTTTTACAAAGGGCTTAAGCTTCAATCAAGCTATAAACTACCCCAACATGCACCCAATTTCTCAAATAAAACCCTAACATACCCATCACCATAAAAATCTTGGAAAAGCTTGTATCTAATGAACTCACCTAGAATCATGCAAGGAAGAGATTGCAAGTCTCCAAGCAAAGAAAATCACTCTTTAAGCTCCTCAATCACAAGTGGGTCACCATTTTCACCACCATTTTTCTCTCAATGCAAGACTTTTTGGTAGATTATGGATTAAGGGTTGTGTTTGCCTCTCAATTCTAAGAAATATTGGTTCAAGAATCAAATGATTTGGTTGAGAGATGGAGAAGTTAAGATTTTGGAGCTCTCATCAATGGTCTCATTTCCCTCTCTTTGTCGCGCGAAGGAGATGAAGCAAATGGGTAGAGTTTCATTTGTTTTATCACTTAACATAGGTTGAGTTATCTCAACCGGGTATTAGCTCATCTATTTATTCAACTCCATTCACCACTAAATTTTACCCAAAGGTCTGGAATATTTTTCTAGGAATATTTTCACTTTTACTTTTATATTTTGGGTACTTTTATCTACACCTATTTTTACCCTATAATTTTCACTGACAGCACTTTTTACCTCAAGAGTGACCCTGATTCATTTAATTAGGTCTTATACTTAATTTTACTCAGTAATACATGCTTAATTACTTAATTACATGTAATTTACTTAGGCCTTATGCTTAACTCAACCAGCGGAAGATATCTGTCTCATGCAGTACCCTGCTCCAGGGTGCAAGCCCTCAGCATATCCTCCAATGTCTGAATGGTCCTCTCAGTCTGACCATCCGTCTGTGGATGATAGGCAGTGCTCAGTCTCAACTAAGTGCCAAGAGCCTCCTGCAATTCTCCCTAGAAGCAAGAAGTGAACTTCGGGTCCCGATCGCTAACAATGCTCTCAGGCACCCCATGAAGCCTTACAATCTCCTTCACATAGAGCCTAGCCAATCTCTCAGCAGAGAAATCTACCCGTACTGGCAAAAAGTGTGCGGACTTTGTCAATCTATCCATAATTACCCATATAGAATCATAACTAGCCTGTGTTCGCGGCAAACCTACTACGAAATTCATGGAGATACTTTCTCATTTCCATTCAGGAACATCCAGAGGTTGCAACATACCAGAAGGCTTTTGATGCTCAATCTTGACCTTCTGACATACGAGACACTTAGAGACGAATTTTGCAATATCTTTCTTCATACCAGGCCACCAGAAATTAATCCTTAGGTCCTGATACATCTTTGTAGCTCCTGGATGAACAGTGAATTGACTCTTATAGGCCTCTGTCATCACTTCCTTCGCCAACTGCCTAGGTACAATAATACGACCCTGATATAATAGTATACCCTGCTCATTGCAGGATACACCACTCTGACCTTTCAATCGTTTAGCACTTTCATTTTGCAGTTAAGCTTCTTTAATTCTGGTCAGCATTTCATTTTCAATTCTTGTAATTTCGATGTCACATATACTACTTGGAAAGACTTCAGATAAATTCATGTCTCGGAACCTCTCAATCACATCATAATCTATCATCATCGTGCTTGCTATGCTCGCAGATTTCTGGCTCAATGCATCAGCTACAACATTAGCCTTGCCGGGATGATATTTCAATTCGAAGTCGTAGTCCTTTAGGAACTCAGTCCACCGTCGTTGTCTCATATTCAACTCCTTTTGATCAAACAAGTACTTCAAGCTCTTGTGGTCACTGAATACAGCAAACTTCATTCCATACAAGAAATACCTCCATTGTTTCAACCCAAAAACGATCGCAGCAAGCTCCAAGTCATGAGTCAGATAGTTTTCTTCATGCAGTTTCAATTGCCTCGATGCATACGCCACTACTCGCTTATCTTGCATCAGCACACATCTCAATCCCTTTTTAGAAGCATCGCTGTATAATTCAAATTCACCTTCCGGATCAGGAAGTACTAACACCGGAGCAGTCGTCAATTTCTCCTTAAGATTCTGAAAACATTCCTCGCATTCATGCGTCCAAATAAACAGAGTATCCTTCGGAGTCAAACGGGTCAATGGCAGAACCATCGCATAAAACTCTTTGATAAATCTCCGATAGTAACCGGCCAAACCTAGAAAACTCCTTACTTCAGTCACCGTCTTGGGTCTCTCCCAATCAATAATTGCCTCTATCTTGCTAGGATCAACCGCCACTCCATCAGCAGAAATGACATGACCCAAGAATTGCACTTGAGAAAGCCAAAATTCGCATTTTGAAGGCTTTGCATACAACTGTTTCTCTCTAAGAATTTGCAACACAGTACTCAAGTGATCCTCATGCTCTTCCTTACTCTTGAAATATATCAGGATATCATCAATAAACACAATCACGAATTGATCCAAAAACGGCTTAAATATGCGATTCATATAATCCATAAACACTGCCGGAGCATTAGTGAGTCCAAATGGAATTACTTGGTACTCATAATGTCTGTATCTAGATCGGAAAGCAGTCTTTGGAATATCTTCCTGCTTAATTCGGATCTGGTGATAACCTGACCTCAAATCAATTTTTGAAAAGACACAAGCACCCCTCAACTGATCAAGCAAATCATCCATGCGAGGGAGAGGATACTTGTTCTTAATAGTAACCTTATTCAACTGACGGTAATCAGTGTACAATCTCATGCTACCGTCTTTCTTCTTGACAAATATAACTGGTGCTCCCCACGGGGACACACTTGGCCTGATAAACTGCTTAGCCGAAAGCTCTTCAATATGTTTCTTTAACTCGGCTAATTCCGATGGTGACATCCGATATGGAGCCAAAGAAATAGGCCCCACACCAGGCAACAAATCAATCGTGAACTCAATCTCTCTAGGAGGTGGAAGCTGCGGAATCTCATCCGGAAACACATCCACAAACTCTTTCACCACGGGACTAGTGTCGATCTCCTCATGACTTCCACCCACTAAACCCCCCACAAATACATATCCCAATGCCCCGTCCCTCAAAGCCTTTCGAACCTGCAACACAGATAGATATGGGGAAGAACTAGTAGCAGAATCATCAGCAGAAAGCACAATCCTTTTTCCACAGCAGTCTATCATAGCATAGTTTTTCGATAACCAGTCCATTCCCAAGATAACTTGAAGACTGATCATAGGCAGACAAATAAAATCCAGCACGTAGTCTCGGCCTTCATATTTAAATTCAACTTCCTTGCATAAAACTGATGTATAACACTTCTCTTCAGTAGCAATCACCACTTTCATTGGAGGAGAAATTTTGTACATACGTAAATTTAGCCCAATAGCCATAAAATCAGACATACAGGAGTGTGTAGCTCCTGAGTCAAACAAGACTTCAATATCCATATTATCAATATAAATTGTACCTTTCACAAGGTTTGGAGCCTTTTCTGATTGCTGACGGTCCATGGTATATACTCTACAACAGTCGGGACTCTATCATAGGTGGAACAAACGAAACAGGAACAACAACAGCTTGAACTGTCATAGTCCTCACTTCATTTTGAGGGCACTTCCTAGAGTAATGATCGGATCTTCCACACTTATAGCAAATAACTTCACCCGTAGCACACGGACCTCGATGCTCTTTTCCGCATCCTCTACACTTTGGAGGAGGTCCTCTATCAACAAAACTCTTTGCGTTTCCGGGCTTCTTGAATATATCGACTAGATTATTCACACTTAGCTTCTTACCCTTCATTTTCTTGTTTTTCCAATAATTTGAGCCAGTTGCTCTACTTGCATTAGATGCCTGGGCCTCAGAAGGCTTCTTGTTCTTAATCACACTATAAACTTCTTCCACTTTTCGACATTGGTTCAAAAATTTGCTAAACTCATGGATATCGCAATTAGACATCTTCCGAGATATTTTCTCATTTAGACCCATTGAAACTTGGAGGTCATCTCGGCTGAAGTAGGTAGAGCTCTCCCGTAGTTAGCATACTTTACCAATTCATTGAACTTGGAAAAATATCGGTCAATGGTCATCACCCCCTGCTTCAAATCATTATAGTCATTTTGCTTCCTTTCCCTAGCCTCCCTAGGAAAGTAGTTATCCAAGAACAAAGTCTCAAACATCCGCCAGGTGATTTCCTGGCCTTCAGCTTCCAACAGTTGCATGGTGTTCGTCCACCAATCCTCAGCTTCACCTTCAAGCATGTACACAGAGTATACCAACTTCAGTGCATCAGGGCATCTCATCACCATGAAAATCTTCTCCATAGCTTGGAGCCATTGCGCCGCAACCAATGGATCATAACCTCCAGTGAAGGATGGAGGTTTGTGTTTTCGAAAAATAGTCAATCGCCTTTCATTCGCGTCTGGCCCATCAACATGTCCCACATGTGGTTGATGAACCACAGTATGATGACTAGAACCATCATCATGGTGACTAGCCTCTTCTTCATTGTTGCTCGCTCCACCCTCTGCATGGAGAGTATGTGGAGTAGGCGTGGTAGTGTGAGGAGAAGGAGTGGGTGGTCGGTTCTCATGTCTAGCACCCCTCAGCGTCCTCAACTCATTCATCATCGCGGTCATAGCATTTTGCGTATCTTCATTCGTCTTCATCAAATTCTCATTAGCTTGACGACTAGTAGTCAACTCCCTTTGAACAGCTTCCAGAGTTTCAGCCACAGGATCAGACTGTCCACCTATTACCCCACGACCACTTCGGGGCCTAACTAAAGCAGCCAAAACAAGATCTGGCTGAGCATTGGCATTCGATGGCCTAGGGTTATTCTGGTTCCTCATCATGACACTACACATGTTACACAAAAAATGAGTTGATCAGACTCACACTCAGTGATCACAGATGCAATAATCATAAAGAGTACCAAAACAACTATAAAGCATTAAACACCAAGCAAACATAGCAATAATCCACAAGTTTCCCTAAGAAACGACTCTAATACCATAAAAATCATGGAAAAGCTTGTATCTAAACATGAACTCGCCTAGAATCATGCAAGGAAGAGATTGCAAGTCTCCAAGCAAAGCAAATCATTCTCCAAGCTCCTCAATCACAAGTGGGTCACCACTTTCACCACCATTTTTCTCTCAATGCAAGGCTTTTTGGTAGATTATGGATTAGGGGTTGTGTTTGCCTCTCAATTCTAAGCAATAAAAGTTAGGATTTTGGAGCTCTCATCAATGGTCTCCTTTCCCTCTCTCTGTCGCGCGAAGGAGATGAAGCAAATGGGTTGAGTTTCATTTGTTTTATCACTTAACATAGGTTGAGTTATCTCAACCGGGTATTAGCTCATCTATCTATTCAACTTCATTCACCACTAAACTTTATCCAAAGGTCTGGAATATTTTTCTAGGAATATTTTTACTTTTACTTTTATATTTTGGGTACTTTTATTTACACCAATTTTTACCCCATAATTTTCACTGACAACACTTTTTATCTCAAGAGTGTCCCTGATTCATTTAATTAGGCCTTATACTTAATTTTACTCACTAATACATGCTTAATTACTTAATTACATGTAATTTACTAATTAATTAGGCTAGGGCTATTATAGGAAGCAACTTTTATATATCACCTACTTTGAAATAAAAGCTTAACCTTTAGGATCAGCAAATGCATAACATGATTCTCATGCTTAATTAAGACATCAATCGGGTTCGATCCTCATCGCCCCCCTCCCCCTCCCCCCAAACTTTCTTTCAAGTGAATTTTTTTTCTTTGCACAGGTAGGTCGGCTTGTGCATTGTCTACACTTCAAACCCAGTAGGCTTTCATGTGAGGGGGCGTGTTGAGATATATAAAAAACCATTAATATAGCATCAGCTTAAGCTTTTGGATTGAATTGGTTCTTTACAGTCTCTTCAACTTTTGCTAGCATAAGTAATTAAGCATTAGGTGCAGAGTAAGAAATGATTATATCATCAACAAACCAAACATCTTAACTTTCATTTGAATTATCATAATTAGGTTTCTGTTTCTCATGCGCATATTAATTTTTAAGGTAATAAAAGGATATCAAATGTTCACTAATTCTCCAACTATATCTGCTCACAGGTGTTACAGGTGCAGCAATTGGAGGATTGTTGATATGTATTGCAATTTTCTATTTGAGATATAAATCATCAACATGGCTAGGAGATTTTGGGTTGACTGCAAAGAGTAACCAACATATTGAAGCATTCTTAAAAAATCATGGAGGTCAAACTCTAAAAAGATACAAATTATCAGATATCAAGAAAATGACCAATGGCTTCGAAGTTAAACTAGGACAAGGTGGTTTTGGTGCTGTCTATAAAGGAAAACTGCTCAATGGTTGCCCTGTAGCTGTAAAGATATTGAATGCATCCAAAAGAAATGGTGAAGAATTTATCAATGAGGTTGCTAGCATCAGTAAAACTTCTCATGTTAACGTTGTCACACTTCTTGGGTTCTGTTTGGAAGGCCCAAAGAAAGCTCTAATCTATGAATTTATGTCCAATGGTTCCCTTGATAAGTTCATTTACAGAAAAGGACCTGAAACTGCTCCACCCTTGAGTTGGGATATTTTGTATCAAATAGCAATGGGCATAGCTCGAGGGTTAGAGTACTTACATAAGGGATGCAACACTAGAATTTTACATTTTGACATAAAACCACATAATATTCTTTTGGATGAGAATTTTTGTCCCAAGATATCAGATTTTGGGCTAGCAAAACTGTGTCCCAGGAAAGAGAGCATTATTTCCATGTCAGATGCTAGAGGAACAATGGGGTATGTTGCTCCAGAAGTGCTGAATAGACATTTTGCTGGAGTTTCACACAAGTCTGATGTTTATAGCTATGGAATGATGCTGCTCGAAATGGTGGGAGGTAGGAAGAACATTAATGCAGAAGCCAGTCACACAAGTGAGATATACTTCCCACATTGGGTATACAAGAGACTAGAGTTTGGCATTGAGTTGAAACTAGATGAGGTGATGACAACAGAAGAAAATGAGATAGCAAAGAGATTGACCGTAGTGGGTTTATGGTGCATTCAAACGTTTCCAAATGATAGACCTACAATTAGTAGAGTGATAGATATGTTGGATGGCAGCATGAATTCTTTGGAAATGCCACCGAAACCTTTGCTTTCTTCTCCTACTAGATCAGTAGTGGAATCTTCCACTTCTTGAAATTATTTTCATTGTGTTTTGTGTAAACCTTCCTAGTTATACTATGAAAAGGATCACACAACATACTTGTTTTGTACTTTTTAATCATCCTGGAAAAACAAGTGGATCTCAAGTGTTAATGCTTGCTTTATTGAATGCAAAAGTCAGGCCAATTGAGGATTCATGGAATGTAGAGAAGGAGAAAAAGACTAGGCAAACACTCAGAATTGTGTGGCATGAATTGTATTTTGCCTTGATTCCTTCTAAGTTAAATAAACTTCGATCAATAGCTTTGTCCGGTGTGGATTTTCTAATAATTGTTATCGAGAACTGAGTTTCTGCATTCATCCATTGGAATATACATTGTGTTAATGATTTTATCATAGTGCAATTTTCAGTCGACTACAGATTGCGTCAAGATATAAAAATGGTCATATAAATTATGATAGCCTTCCTATTATAAGAAGAGTCTTAATAGTTAGTTGCTATTTCAACGATAAAATTATTTCACTTTAACATACCTGAGGTATGTAAGAAATTTTATACCTGTAATTAATATTCCTCTATTTAAAATCTCTACTATATCCATCACTCAAAATAACAATTCATTTTTTTTTAAAAAGAAAAAGAAAATCCTAGTATAGACCTTTAACTCTAAATAAAAATAAAATACTACTATTTATGAATTAAATATAGATAGGTAAAGACAATACTCATATAGAATTAATGAATTACATGTGAATTTTAAAGGAAGATTTTAATTTAAGTTTTCTGTTTTGCTTAGGTACTAAGTAAGGTTTGAGCTCAAGTAATTAAAACAGAAAGGACACGTGCCTAATGAGTAGTCTAATCTCTTTGGATAAGAAAATATTAATTTAATACTGTGCAAATTTATAGACAAATCGAATAGTAAGAATTTGATTATAAATTCTTGGTTGAGTTATATTTATAAACTATTTAATTTATAAACTCTTACAATTAAATTTTAATCATTGATTTTCATTAATTTAATAGGTATAATTTATTAAAATCAATAATTAAAATATTAATTAATTAATAAGTGTGACCTAATAAATTATAAATGTTAAATTGGTAAAAGTCAACGATTAAATTTTAATTTTAAGAGTTTATAAACTAAATAGTTTGTAAATATAACCTCTCTCGTAAATTATTATAATTTATAGCACTATTTAAAAAATTGCGAAAATAAATCTCATATAACATAAAATAACTTTCTTTATATTGTAGACAAACCATGTGAGTGGTCCATCTATTTATTTTTATTTTTTAAAAACTCAAGGCAAAATTTTTACTGAATATATAAAGGGAAATAATTATCTCCTATTGCATGAGATAATTATTTCATCCAACAGAGATAAAATAGTGGAGTATACTATTTTTTTTATTTTTTATTTTTTTGAAAAAATATGGACCCTAGATAATTATCTCATATAACATGAGATAAATAAATCCCATATATAAAAGATATATTTTTTCTCCCCACACAAAAGAAAAACAAAAGAAAGTAAAGTTAGGAAAGTCAGTGGTACTTTCGTCTTTTTCAAAATTCTAATTCTATTTTATTCGGTCAATTCACGGCAATGTCGTTTGGTGGGAATTTATTAACGTGGTTCAAGATCACTATTGTTCTTACACTAAAAAATTGATGTATGAATTAATTTTTTTTTTCTCTCACCTCTTTCTTTAATTTTTTTCCTCTTTCTCTTGTCTCAGTCCCACCAAATCTTTTGTGTTCCCGAAGTATAGAAACTTCGCTCCATTCAGTGATACAGGAAACAAATAGGTAATTTCGTCAGTGACTCTTAGTGCCCGTTTGGATTTTATTTATTTATTTAGAAGCTGTTTATAATTAAAAGTTAGGTTAAATAGATTTAAAAAAAAACTCTTATAATAATTTTTTTTTTTATATTGAAGAAAAAAATTAAAAGCCAAAAGTTCCTTCAAAGAGCTTTCTTTTTAAGCTCTTATTAGCAATTTTTGAATTGTGTATTTTTTTAATAAAGAGTTAAAAAAATAGAGAGTTTTTTTTTTTTTTGAAATATATGTTTTTAAACTAAAAAATTTATATAATTAACAACCAGTTTTTAACTCTCTTTTTTTAAAAACTGTTTTTTTTTTTTTTTTTTTTTTGGTACATAAAAACTCTTTTTTTAGTTTTAACTTAGGGAAAATATTTTCTCATTTCAAAGGAAAAATTTTTACTCCCACTAGTAACTCATAGTATATATGGGGTCTATAAAATAATGGAGAAAAAAAAAATTAAAATAGGATCCACTTATGCTATGAGTCATTAGTAGGAGAAAATATTTTCCCTTTAATTCATAAATAATTTTAGCATAAAAGAAAGAGGATTCAAACATGATTTTAAAATTTACTATATATGGGTTTGAGTGGCATTAAGTAACTTACATTAAGGGAGTTGTTGATAAGAATGGAAGATAAATATTCATATGCGATTACTCCTTACAACCATAGCCACCATGTTTTTGTTCATCTTAACCAATTTGCTACAGTCCCATTCTCAAGGAGAAGAGACCAAATACACCAATTGTAGCAGGCTGCCATACAATGTGGAGATGTGTCCAACATCTCCTACCCTTTATGGGGACACAACAGAACCCAATACTGTGGCGGTGGCCACCAAATAGATTTCAAACTTGAGTGTCAGAATATTAGTACCACTATTCTAAATGGCTTACAAAGTTTCCAAGTGTTGGGTATCGACACAACAGCTTACACCATTACAATGAAGCGAAGGGTCAACGATGTTTGTTCTCCGACATTTTACCGCACTTACTTGGACCTGGACCCTGTTAGAAATTATAAAACATAATTATATGAAATTAGACCACCAAAAGATTTAGGTTTACTTGTTGAAGACATGATTCTTGATTTCTTGAAGGACTTTTGTTTCCTCTAATGCTCTTGCAATGAAAAGACTAAGATTTTCTCGTGCAATTCACACTACTCCCTAATCACAACCGTCGATAGAGCGAGTAGTAGAGTAACGATTTTCCAAAGCATTGTGAATGTAGAGGGGACCTAGGCAAACCCTAGTCCCTTGCCATCATGGGCCTATGGGTTAGACATACACTATTACCCACACTAATCAGTTTATGGATATCCAAGCCTAAATCAAAATGATCACTAATTAACTAGGCTTTATACTGCACCCCTATATGGATCATGACTTAGCCCTTTTTTATTAAAACAAAAAAAACTACAATTGATTGACGCCCACAATTATTATAAAAATTTCTAACAATCTCCCACTTGGGCAAGATCAATTGTAAAATTTTAATTTAAAAGAGAAGAGAAAAACAAGTTATTTGAAAACGACTCTCGGACTAAGGACTAATTCTTATAATGTGACCACATTTTAAGAAAACACATAATTCAAGGTGTGATATCTGAATCTGACTCCATCCAACTAAAATCAAATAACATTGAATCAGACGGTGATTATACTCTTATCGATATAAGACCTTCCATGGTAACAAATGTTACTTAACTCCGTCGACTAGTCGTTAGTGTGGAGTGTAGCAAGAAAATAGTATGCCAATGTGATCCAACAACAGCCAAACTGTTATTTTCTCAATCAGTCCTCAAATTTCTCTCAAATGCCTTAAAGTCAGAGAAATTCCATGGTTTATCAAAAAATCAACATATAATCAAATATAGTGTCGACCACGGGCCCTATAGTTCTAAATACACCATTATGTCTCAAACTCCCATATAGTGTCAACCACAGACATGATAGTTCCATCGACACTGAGTTCCAAAATCATGCCTCAAACTCCAATATAGTGTCAACCACAGGTATGGTGGTCCTAACAACACTGAGTTCCAAAATCTTATTATCATGCCTTAAACTCCAATATAGTGTCAACCACAAGCACGATGGTCCCAACGACACTAAGTTCCAATATTTCACAATTGATAAACACAAACACAAATATGCAATATATACAATAAAAAAATTCAATGCATTATCAATTGCTCCATAAGGGATTTATATATCAACCAAATATCAATTATGTCTGTAATAAACAATTCAACATGATACGTAAATAACAAAAAACTCAAACTCCCACTAACCAAGCACATCAAAGCGACTCACAATGCACATGTTCTTCACATGCATTTCAAATATCATGGGCCTAAGTCCTTTAGTTATATAGTCAGTTAACATTCTCAATAACTAAGTCATCCACATACAATACAAGAAAAGAGACTTTTCTCACACTAACCTTATGGTAAATATACTAACATAAATTATTTTCATCATAGCTCTAGAAAGTCACTACCTCATCAAATCACCATTAATGTAAAATAAAATCCATGTTGATTTAAAAAAGGATATAAAATTCAAGATCCTTCTCACATAGGCCTTATAGAAAATTCATTTCAAAATAAACTCATATCCTGACATTAAAAACTAAGCAATTATCTCCCACTAACTTGACAATAACTTCAAGATCACACAACATTAATCATATCTCTCCCACTAAAAAAACATGTCAAGTATGTTCTCTACATTAATTATAGGCTAACATACAATGCCCTATCAAGATCAAAATTCATAAAAAAATAAAATAAAAATCCAGATCTCATCTCCATTAATCACAATTCAATCCAATCAACAATTCTATTATGGCATTGTTATCTTTCATATCAAAAGTATATTTATTACACAAATGCAATTATTTTAATTACGAGCAATGAAATAATTTTATCGAAATAATTAGCATACACAAACACAACCATAATGGTCCAATGAATGAGTTCCAAGTCACAAGAATGGAAGACTCCACTTTAAGCTCCTCCAATGTCAAATTTTCGCCCCCTTCCACAAGGAAAATCTCACTCCACAATAGTTCCCACTCAAAACTAATTTAGGGTTAATAAAGAGGGGAAGATTTGAAGTAATTTTGGCTTTGGAATCAATGAAAATGGTTAATAAATGAGTGAGTTGTGGTTCAAGGGCATTTGAAGAGCTTCTCTCCTCTCCCTCTCTATGGTTGCCATCGAAGAAGAAGAAAGAAAATGAGGGAGGTGATGTGGTTTCTTCACTTAAGTTACTTAA